ATTGCATGGCACAAGTCTTTAACCATATTTTCATTTCTAGTGGTCATAACCACCCTCTTTAGCCAATATTGCTTAAATGTCCCTTCAAAATTCCACTAAATGAAGTAAACTGTCACATATTGCCTCTGACGCTTAAGCGCGGGGCCTTTAGCACTTAGACGCGGCCTTCTCTGTTTCACGGGCGTTTAAGCGCGGGATCTGGTATAAAAATTTTATTCTTTTTCACTCTTTTTAGCATTCACATTTTTACTTGTACCTGAAAGAAAAACACACAAATACCTTCCATTAAAGCGTAATATCTCAAAAATAGGTATAAAAATGTGTTAAAAATACTATATATTTTAGGTGAATCACTGACAAGAATCTTCCGAATCTGGTTTAAACACCTTTTAGACTAAGTATATTTGAATACCTTACGACCCCACGATGACGGAGCCATAAAAATCTTGATTGCGTCATTTAAAAATTATTCAACCAACTAAATTTACAAATTTAAACATGATTTCATGCTAATTGTGTTCTGCTTTGCAGGCTTGTTGAAAACATGAAACAAATTACATTTTAAAGTTACTTTACATGTTATTAGGGCGTGCTAACTCTGTTTTGCAGAATGACCTTCTGAAGCAGAAAAGGTGAACCTCAAGTCAACAAAACAACAACAAAAATAAACAAAACAAAGCGAAGTAAATGCAGATGTTCTTAATAAACAAAATGAAAACAATAAAACAAAGACAAAACAACAAAACAACAAAACCAAACAACATAAATAAGACATAAACAAATTAAAATGACAAAACACAATAAAAACAAAATGACATTAACAAAAAAAAAATGGCAAAAGAAAACATCTAAGGTAGAATCAAATTCTTAGAAACCTATTACCCTAGGCTCAAACATTGATGTTTCTTTCCTTGATCTTGACATTAAATTTCTTAAAAGAATGAGGGTTAACGATAATCAAGTGTTTTTTGAGACAGTTTATACTGTCTGAGATGTAATTAACTTTAGGAGCTTGCTTTTATAGGAGAATGAAGAACTCGAGATAGGTAATATACCTATATCTCTGCTTATCAAGTTTTTCATGTTGTTTTCCTTATACGAGAATTTATTTTCTTGATAATGTTCACGACAATGGAAATCATCCCTACATTTCATTTTTTCTATTGTTTTCTATTTTTAGTCATTTTACTTCCTTCTCCGAGTTTCTTAACATCTGAGGATCCTTCACATAATCCAAAATAATAAGTTATTTCAAGAATAGGGCGATAAGATAGGTAAACAGAGTGGTGACTCGTCAACTATAACAACATCCAACAACACGAAGGAATTGTTCATGACGTAGTGACACTATTTCCGCGACGACATGCACTTATAATACATGGAAATTGAGACAGGAAATCTACATGACAATGGGTGGCTAAATGACTTGTACAAGATTAGACACAAGTGGTCCACTGCTTTTAATAAAGATGTTTTTGGGATGGGAATTTTATCCACACAAAGGAGTGAATCCACCAATAACATTTGTCATGGTGTCTCAAAGCCCACAAGTTCTCTTACAGATTGTTTTTTGGGTATTGAAAATGTAATGAGAACATGGAGACGCAACGAGAAGGATGAAGATTTCTAGTGTGATCAATCAATCAGAACTCCTATTACGAAGAGTAGTCCAATACTGAGGCAAGCAGCTGCATTTTACTCTAGGAAGCTGTATGCAATGTTCGAAGAAGAGTTTATCCATGGATCATGTGGTCTTGAATTGCATGCCTCCATAGATGATGAAACTGAATTTTTTGTCAAGAGTTTGGATGATCATAAGACAAACAGTATTTGGGCAGTTCATTTTGACAGCTTCACCATGAATATTCAGTGTAGCTGCAGGAAGTTCGAAATGATGGGGGTACTGTGTGCACACTCTCTACGAGTTCTAAATTTCTTACACATTAAGAAAATACCAGATAAATATCTGCTCCTGAGATGGTCAGAAAATGCAAAGAGGGATGTTTATAACAGTTCCAGATACATGCATCTGCAGCAGTCACAGTCCTCAAATAATATTCAAGGCGACCTATTATTCGAAGCACACATGCAGAAAGTTGCATATCAATGTACCCGGAAAGCAAAGGGGAATTCGGAAGCTGAGCAGCGCATGAAGGAATCCATGAAGAAATTATCATTGGACATTGAAAACATTTTGGTTGGTAAAGGTACTCAATCAGGAAGACAACAAAGGAAAAATAAAGCACCAGTCAATAATGAATCAAATATGAATGATCCAGCTAAAATGCGACCTAAAGGAATATCTAATGCCAGACTGAAAGGGTATTGGGAGAAAAATAAAAGATCAAAAGGTATGGATCAACAACTACAATCCATTTTATATGTTGTGCCACTTAATTTACCAAGTTTGATATGTATATATTTAGGCAAGCAAAAAATTGTATCAACAACCGAAGAACCCGAGACATCACAACGTCATCCACCCGCATGTTCATTACCCAATTTTCTAACACAGGTATAACTTTTCAGAATTTTTTTGGTTGTATTACTATGATTTCATGATTTAACAGTACATCGAAACACACATGCAGAATTCATTTCCTCCAAGGAACAGGGAATCCTACACTGCGATGATGACAGAATGCCTCAATGAGAAATCAATCCCTCAGTGGTAATGATCTTAAGGTATTCCAAGACATGTAATATTTTAAATTATTAAGTTAGTTGCATCTTGCAAGTTTGTCCTTCTTGAGGTATTCCTGCATTTCATCGAGTCTTCCTGCATTTAAAACTTTGTATGATGTAAAAGTTTGTTCGATGAATTTCTACAGGTAGGCTGTGAGGACCCGAATCAACAGATGAGGTAGAACGACAGATTTACTGGAACGTATGGCTATGAGAACCCGAATCAGCACATGATTTAGAACAGCTACTGGAGGTCCTTTTGGAAGGCTATGAGAGCCGGAATCAACACATGATTGTTCAACCCTGATCAACACATGGTTGATGAATTACTCCAGCTCTTCTTTTAAATTTTATGTATGTTGGATCAGCTTTAATAATGAAACATTATTGTATTATTCTCCAATCTTGGTCTGGAACGTATGTTATTTATGTATCTGTTATGTATCTGCTTTGCTGTATTTCTAAACTCAGGAACGTATGTACAGTTTATCAATTATGTATCTGCTTTGCTGGGTTTCTAAACTCTGGAACGTATGTTATTTTACAGATCAAGTTATCTTATATACACAACTTTGGAAAAAATTAAATTTTACCTATACAACACAAAAAATGTAACAGTATAAACGAATTAACATAGCAAAAATGATTTTAGTATATGTTTAATCTGCACCCACAAAAATCTATTAGTATAAACGTTTTTTATTAGTATAAACGTTATATTTTACAGACCCACAAAAATCTATTAGTATAAACGTTTTTTATCCACATTACATATCCACTTATTGAAAACCATAAAATTATATACCATAAAATTATACCATTACAGATAAATGACCATTGCAAATCATAAAATTATACCATTACAGATAAATGACCATATTTTCAATTCAGTTCCCACTCCCTTCTCATTTCGTCTCCTTCAATTACTTCATTTATACCATTACAGCCTTATTGACTTCACGATAAGTGATTTTCAAACAGTGTTTCACGATAAGTAATCATCCTGCCATCAAATAGCCACAGCAGTATCCACACTTAATAAAAGACTTGGAAATCATCTCTCATGAGATCAATGTAGCCACAACCCAACTACATGAAAAGCTAGGAAATTTCCCAGAAAGCATGAGCTTCAAAAAGCTGCAATTCATTCTGCAGTACAAAATTTCTCAGAAACTCCTTATAACCTATTTACGCTGGTAAAAAAAAAAACACAGAGTAAGAATTCGTATTCGAAAGAAGGGATTCGTTTCCTGTGTCCCTTCCAATTACAGATAAATAACAAGTATTCCCTTTTAAAAAACTGCAATTCATTCTGCAGTAAGCGTACAACTTGCCATTCCCATTACAGAAGCATAACATTTTTGTGTACATAGTAACAAGAAATGATAGCCATTAATAAACAGTTGTGGCCATTCCCATTACCATAAAACTGATAGCTCCCACAGATTGGGACGAAAATCTGATTCAGCTCGGTAATCAATCGAATTAAGCATGCAACAATCAACCAGGTCCTGCCATAAAACAACAACATAAATAACAAGAAATAAACAGTTGTTGTTAGTATAACCCTGAACTCTAATTAGAACAGTTCCATAATGTCTGCTACAGAAATTCTACCCTGCAATCAGAAAGTTAATGTTGACATTCATTAAATCACTTAACATGAAATGTACATTAATGAAAACAGCAGAAATAAAAAGCATGAGACTATAGTGTCATTAGTATTTCACATCA